TTCTTCACTATCTCTTGCAATACAATTTCCCAGTTTTAAGAAGGCTACATTTGTTACCTACTAACAACATTTTAAATTTTAAATGTTGAGGCGCTAAGCAACTTAGTGAGACCCTGTCTCTAAATAAAACAGGGCTGGGGATGTGGCTCAGTGGTGAAGTGCCCCAGAGTTCAATCCCCAGTACCTACCCCCACACCCCAAAAAAGATACAGATTATCAAAGAAAAATACAAATTGAGAAAAAGAAAAGTACAGGAAACTTTGAGAATATATTAACAGGGGGAAACTGATCTAGACTGGGAATTCCAGAAGGATTTGCTTAGGAAGTAATGGTTAAACTAAGATCTGAATGAAAACATTCACATTTATATAAAAACAGATCTCCATTAAATGTGAGAACTGGTCCAATAAGCCCAAATATGTCTGGCATCTTTAACCTAAAACAACCACTTTAGAAAAACAAAAGGATTACAAAATTTGCTATAAAAAATATATGAAAGCTAGTATGGAGGAGGGGGCAGTGTCTTTCTCATCTTTGAATACCCCCATATCATCTTGCCTAGTATCATTGGTATTCATCAAATTTTTGTGAAATGATTAGTGTCAGTATTAAATCAATGCTCATACTATACTTTTTATTATTAACACATATTAGTTGTACAAATCAATAGGTTTCACTGTGAATACCACCCCCCCCACACACACACACCCTCTCCTAAAACCCAGGGCCGTACAAGCTAGGCAAGTGCTCTACTCAGCTACCTTCTCAGCACTTTTCATTAAACCCATGGGTGCATTACCCTGAACTCTATCCCCAGCACCACCACCCCCCCTCCTTTTTTTTTTTTTTTTGAGATAGAGTCTCACTAAGTTGCTTAGTGTCCATTAAGTTACTGAGTCTGGCCTGCCTCAGCTTCCTAGGTCACTGTGATTACAGGTATGCTCCACCAAGCCTGGCTTCAGGTTATTATTTAAATTCGTTAGAAGACATATTTTCCACCCATTTTACATATATATTTAAGCTAAACTTAAATTTCATCCAAATTAGAGCTTCTAAATGATTCAATTGTAAAACTTTATATGCCTTAAAAAAACATGAAAAATGGAACAACAATAAAAAAAAAAATCAAATTCGCCAACTGTCAAGAATTCTATCTACTGATTCCAACAATTAAACATTGATTTTCTAATTAAAAATAAGTGTTTAGGGCCAGGTGCAGTTTCACAAGCGAGTAACCCCAGCAGCTCAGGAGGCTGAGGCAGGAAGATGGTGAGTTCAAAGTCAGCTTCTGCAAAAGAAAGGTGCTAAGCAACTCAGTGACAGCCTGACTCTAAATAAAATGCAAAATAGGCCTCAGTGGTTGAATGTCAGGGAGTTCAATCCTGGGTACCAAAAAAAAAAAAAAATTGTCGGGGTTGGGGTTGTGGCTCAGTGGTGGAGCATTTGCCTGGCACATGTGAGGAATTGGGTTTCATCCTCAGCACCACATAAAAATAAACAAACAAAATGAAGGCATTGTGTCCATCTACAACTAAAAAATATTTCAAATATAGAAAAAAATTTTAAATTATCTTTGTTTTGTTTTTTTTATAAGTGCTGAGGATTGAACTCAGGGGTCCCTGCATGCCAGGAAATTAATCACTCCACCACTGAGCTGTCCCCAGCTCCATTTAAGATCAGAAAATACGGTCACAAAACCAGTCACTTATACTAAGAAATGACAATAAATAAATGCAAACTCACAGAAAAAAAATTTTAAGTTACACTGGCTAGAAGAGTTTAAATTTAAATGTCTGCCACATAGCGTGACTTTATCTAGCATCCATGAAATTTTTTTCAAAAGTAAAGTGTAAATCTGATGTGACCAGTGCCAGGACTCAAAGTTACTTGGAAAGCTGAGCAGGAAGGATCATTTGAGCCCAGGAGTTAGCAACACACAGACCCCCAACCCCATCTCAAATAGGGACAGATAAAAAAATATCAAGAAAAGTTAAAATGCTCAAATATGCAAGTAAAGGCAATTTATATTATTTCAGGGTATTTTTGCTTAAAATAAATTTTGTGTAATTTTTTTTTTAGGTGCTGGGGTTACATTTTTAGTGTAGTTTAGAATAGTTCTCTTGATTTTACCCTTCAATGTGCCCCGTTATTACAACAGTATTTCCAGGCAAGTGACCTGTTTTTATGGGCTATCAGATCCAGATGAGGCTGGGGATGTGGATCAGTGGTAAAGTGCTTGTCTGGCATGCATGAGGCCCTGGGTTCAAATCCTCCAGAACCAAATAAAAAAATAAAATAAAATAAAATAAAAATTCATGCAGCAAGAAAATTTCAGAAATAACCTTTCAGGCCTGGAGGGGTAATTCAGAGGGAAAGCACTTGACTAGCATGCAAGAGGCTATGGGTCCGTTGCCCAGCATCATGATTAAAAAGAAAGCAAACTTTTGGGCTGGGGTTCTGGCTCAGTGGCAGAGCACTTGCCTACCATGTGTGAGGCACTGGGTTCAATTCTCTGCACCGCATATAAATAAACAGTCTATTGACAACTTAAAATTTTTTTTTTAAAAAGTAATGCCTGCACTACTGATCATCAATATTAGTTAATTTAGCTTTTAAACACATTGTATTTAAATAATTTATAATTCTAAACTTATTTCCAGATGAATGTCAAGATCACAGCTTCCTGCTTGACAGGTTTTTTTTTTTTTTTTTTTTTTGGGGGGGGGGGGTCCAGGGGTGCTTTATCACTGAGCTATATCCCCACCCCTTTTTGTTTTTTATTCAAGGCAGGGTCTCACTATATTGCTTAGGGCCTCACAACATTGCTGAGTCTGGTCTTGAACTTGTGATCCTCCTCAGCTACTGGGATTACAGGTGTGTGCCACCATGTCTGGCTTAACAGTTGCTTTTTTTTGACAGTTACTCTCAATGCTTGTTTTTTATTATATTTTACATTTACTGAGTGTTTCAAGGCTTTAGGATTCATTAGTTATTATACTATTAATTACAATACGTGCACTGCAATATTCCCTTTTTAAGGAGTGCAAATAAAAGTTAAATAACTTATCCAAGGTCACCCAACAAGTCAGTGACAAAATTGGAAGTAGTATTAAAATTTCATTTTCCAGACTACTACCTTCACACTTAGCCAATTCAAAAAAAAAAAAAAAGAAAGAAAGAAAGAAAAACTCAAAAGAGATTTATTTTCAGAAACTTCTAACAGCATACCCCCAATACATTAGTACACTCAAACACTAATAAAAAGTATCACCTTGAACGAAGAAAAAACTTGCAACATTTAGATACTGTCTTCACCTCCCTAGTTTTTGCAACCAAGCAAAAACACTGAACTGGATCGGTATATATTAAATCTTAGGGAACGTTCACTCTTCAATATGTCCAATTTTCACACTAACTGAACATTTATAAATTAATCTTTCATTATCTTGTCCCATAGGGTACATTAATTTTCGCACTCTCCCCACAGTCCAGTTAAGACCACCACCTCAAAAGTAAGCAGTTCTCAAAACATAGTTATATAGCCAATGAAAGAAAAACTCAATAAATTGCTGCTTTTAAAGAGATATTTTTAAATATGATTATATGCTTCACGGAATTATTTTTAAGTCACCCGCCAAGAAGGATGGTTCCTTTAAAGTAGCTTTCAAGGCGCGTCCCTCCCTGCTTGGGACACAGCCTGACTTGTCGGACAAGATTAATCCAGGCACGCTGACACAGAAACCCTCTGGAGCAGCTTAGTTCACTGAAAACACAATTTCAACTTCCAACTGTAGTATTCAGTACTTCCTACACTACAGGGACAGGATGACCCTCTTTAACTGTGCTTCAGAAGGTTCCCTCGACGGAGACAATGACAGTCATCCTCCCGCGGAGGTTTTGGGACTTAGGAAGCGTCAACGCCAGGAGTCAAGGCTCCTAGGAAGTGTCAGTGCGGCAGCAGGTGGAGTAGCCCTGCGTGCCGAGCAGGTCCTTTCTGACCTAATCCTAGTCCTCCTCCACCTACCCCGGTTCCGCCTTACGGACCTTTCCAGGCCGCCCTGCGCCCCGGTCCTCGCGGGGAGCGCGGCGCCCCAGACAGCCCAGACTGCCACCCTCTTCCGGGGACTCGCAGGCCCGCTCCTGGCCGCTCCGGAGCCCGGCAGACCTGCCGGGGTAGGCGGCCGGCCGCTCCTGGGGCCTGCCGGCCGGAGCCCCACACGCCGCGGCCCGCCGCCACAGCCGGCCGCCACCCGCTCGCCCGGCGCCGCGTCCCTCGGAGTACCCCGGTGGAGTTCCCGGCCCACTCAAAAGTAAGGGCGGCCGCCGCCCCCCGCTGCCCTGCCCTGCTGTCACCGCCCTGCCCTCGGCCGCTGCCCGCGCGGCTGGCGGACCCCGGCGACGCCCGGGTCGGTACCTTGCGGACCCCCTTGTAGATATAGAAGTAGAGCTCCCGGCCCACATTGAAGCAGAGGCGGTCGCCGTTGCCAGACTGGTCGTTGAGGTTGACGAAGGAGACGCGGACAGGGTTGGATCCCTGCGAGTTGAAGGGCACCCGGTTGGGCCGGCTGTACTCCGAGTGTGGTAGCAGCTTGTACAGACCTTCCCGGGTGGTGAATTGGGTCTTAATCTCGTTCATCTCCTTCCCTCCTCCCTCCGTCGCCATCTTGGAAAGCAGCGTTCATCCTGCCCTAAGTGCCCGGATCACGCCCACCGCGCAGGCGCCGTCCCCGGCGCTCGGTCTTTTCCCCCCCCCGCCCCTTTCTCCCGGCCCCGCCCACCAGCGAGCCTGCCTCTGGAAGGCGTATCGAGTGGAAGGGGCGGGCTTGTTTACGGCCGGACTGCGCACGCGTGCTTACCTGCACTGCCGGGGCGCCGCAGGCTCCTCCCCTTCCTCGGGCGCGGCTCCCTACAGTTCATGTGGGGCCGGCTGCCGGTAGCCCGCGCTCCCGTGGTGGGCGGCGGAGTTCGGAGAACTAGTTGCGGCCTGCCGCTGCGCCAGCCCTGTCGGAGGGTCCCGTTAGGGTTCCGTGAGTGTGGTTCCCTCGGGCTCCTAGGCCTCGGCTGCAGTCCAGGCCTCGCGCCCGAGCGCTGAGGGCGGCCGCCCCGCGCTGCCGGGAGTCGGTCGCCGAGAAGGTACGGTAGGATGGAGTTTTACGCTTCCCTTTAAGGGGGGTGGGGAGAGAGTACGGCTCCGGTGCCGGCAGCGCACATGTCGAGTCCCGTCTACAGCTGGCGTCGCTGACCGCGAGGAAGTGTCGTGCTGGCACCACGGACTCCCTCGGGCGTCTCTGCCAGGTGTCTGGCGCAGCGGCGCGCTGGGCGGCGCTCAGCAACCTGACGCCGAATCTGTGCTGCACTCACTTGTTCAATAGCTTATTAAGATCTCAATAAAAATTAAAGGTTCTGGAGGGTTACTAAGAATTTAACCCAGCGGCGCTTTGCCACCGAGACTTTTCTATTTTTTATTTTAAGACGGTCTAAATTGTGAGGTTGTCCTCGAACTCGGGCGTGCTCCTGGTTCAGTCTCTGGAATGGCTGGGATTACCTGCGCCACCGCTCCCCGCAGTGATTGACTTTGTCCAAAAGGCTCCAGTGGAATCTGGCACTGTTTGCTACGAGACCCCGTGAGCATAGTTATTTGTGTATACTATAGATAGGCAAGGACAGGCGCACGCTCAGGTAAGGTTAAACCACCACCGTTTTGTACTTAGTTTCTTGGCATGTTGCACTAAAATAATAACTCTTGAGGAGTAAACGCCCTCATAGAATTCAAGGGGAAAAAACATTTGTCACACCAGGTAAAAACTATTACTGAAAATTCAGGTCTTATCCAGGGAATACCAAAAAAGTGAGAGGAGGAGGACACCGTGCTGTGCGCCTGTAGTCCCAGCTACTCCAAGGCTGAGGGGGAGGATTTGGAAGCCAGCCTGCCAACACAGCGCAAAATAGTAAAAATTTGCCTGGCGCTGCGGTGCAGGCCTGTAATCCCAATTATTCAGGGAGGGAGGCAGAAATGTTGCAAATTTGATGGTAGCCTGGACAATTTAGCCAGACCCTATCTGAAAATACTAAAGAGGGCAGTAGTTTGGGGCTGAGATTGTGGCTCAGTGGTAGAGCCTTGCCTTGCACTTGTGAGGCACTGGGTTGGATGCTCAGCACCACATAAGAATAAATAAATAAGGTATTGTGTCCAACTACAACTTAAAAGTGGGGGTTACTAGGGCTCAGTAGTAAAATGCCCTTGGTTTAATCGCCAGAACAAGAAAAAGAAAGGGGGAGAAAAGGGAGGAAGGAAGGAGACCAAGAGGATGAGGGGAAAAGGAGAGTTACTCACTTTAGGCTATATTTATCACTGTCATTCAGATTCAGAGATTAATTATGCATTAAGATACTTAAAAATTTTTTTTGATGGACCTTTATTTTATTTATTTATATGTGATGCTGAGAATTGAACCCAGTGTCTCAAACAGGCACTTTACTACTGAGCTACAACCCAGTCCCTTAAAAATATATTTAAAATTTTGATGGTAATGTTTGGGCTGTAGTGACCTTACAGAGATAAATAGACACAGCTAAGTGTCCTTAGGAGCTGCATTTGAAATCTTTACTGACTCAGCCATGTGAAGCAACCAATCTCTCAGATTTATCTAGTTGACCAGGCTTATTCTCTTATTACAACATGACTCAGTACTTCCTTGCTTGAAAACAAAATTTGGAAAACATCACATACTATACTGTCCTTAATACAACACTTCTACTTTATACTTCATCATTGCATATATTAAAAGTTACACACCAGCCAGGCATAGTGGCACACACCTATTAAGCCAGCTACTTGGGAGACTGAGGCAGGAGTATCGAAAGTTCAAGGCCAGCCTCTGCAACTTAATGAGCTCTGTCTCAAAATTTAAGAAGGGGGAGAGCTGGAGAAAGCATACCTGGGTTCAATCCTCAGTACCACTAAAAATAAATAAATAAAGCCTAACACACCATTGAAATTATTATGATGTTTTTAAATAAAAATTGAACTTCGGGCTGAGGATATAGCTCAGTTGGTAGAGTGCTTGCCTCACATACACTAGGCCCTGGGTTTAATCCCTAGCACCACAAAAAAATAAATAAATAAATTCTATGATCTTTATTAAGTCGATGCAACTCTTAATGCCAGTGGAGCATCCTAATTAGAAATTCAAAAATCCAAAACTGAGTACCTTCTGACACTCTAAGTGGAAAATTCCACACTTTAACTTAATGTGATGAGTCACAGCAAAAATAACAAGTACACTAGGCCTGGTGCAGTGGTGCACACCTGTAATTCCAGCAGCTCAGGAGGCTAAGACAGGAGGATTGTGAGTTCAAAGTCAGCCTCAGAAAAAGCAAGGTACTAAGTGACTCAGCAAGACCCTGACTCTAAATAAAATACAAAATAGGGCTGGGGATGTGGCTTAGTAGTTGAGTGCCCTTGAGTTCAATCCCTGGTACCCCCCGCCCCCCCCCCCAAAAAAAAATAAGTGCACTAAAAATACTACATAAAATTGCTTCAGGATATATATGAGGTGTATATGAAACAAATGAGTTATGTGTTTACACTTAAGTCCCATCCCCCAAGGTATCGTCCTTTATGTATTCATATATAGCTGGTGGGAGTGAAAAACAGTACAGCCAGGGCTGGGGTTGTGGCTCAGTGGTAGAGTGCTCGCCTTGCATGTGCGAGACCCTGGGTTCGATCCTCAGCACCACATAAAAAGAAATAAAGGTATTGTGTCCAACTACAAACTAAAAAATAAATATTAAAAAAAAAAAACAAACATTACAGCCACCTTTGGAAAAAATCCTGGAGTTCCTCAAAAGTTTAAACATAGTTACCATATGACCCAACAGTAAGACTCCTAGGTGTATTATCCAAGAGAAATTGAAATGTGTCCATACAAAACAAAACCTTGTAGCATGTTCACAGCACCATCAAATAATAATAGCCCCAAAGTGGAAACAGACAAAATGTCCATCAACTGATGAGTGGGTAAACAAATGAGGCACATCAATACAGTGGAATATTATTCAGTCATGGTAGAAGTGTAAAGGCAGAAAATAGTGGTTCCCCTGGGATGATGGAGAAGTGACATGATTTCTGGGTTTCTTTTGGGGGTGGTAGTTGCACAATTCTGAATATGCTAAAAACCACAGAATTGTAGTCTCATAGGCAACTTATATGTGCCAGGTGTGGTGGCAGACCCCTGTAATCCCAGTGGTTTAGAGGTTGAAGTAGCAGGATTGCAAGTTCAAAGCCAGTCTTGGCAATTTAGCAAGGCCCTAAGGAACTTAGGAGGACCCTTTCTCAAAAAGGGCCTGGGAATGTGGCTCAGTGGCAAAGTACCCATAGGTTTAATACCCAGTAGTGTACACAAATGGAAAACTGATGCTTGCTGTATGAAAGAAAAAAATTTACTCATATAATTAAAAGTACTCTCAGTTACTCTCTGGAGAGCCTCATCAATATTGTTGGCTGCTGAGAAGTGACCAACGATAAGAGTGACTTCTAGCAATAGGTTGCTGAAAAGTTGTACTTGGGGGCTTTGTTAATTTATAATACATTGTAAGGGTGAGTAGCTCAGTGACAGAGCATTTGCTCAATATAATCAATCCCCAGCACCCCAAAGAGATTCTTTTTAAATTTTTTTTTCATTGTAGAAGTTACTGTTTGGGAAAACAAAAACAGTAATTCCTACAATATAGTATTCCCATATTCTGATTATTTTATAACATTAAAAAGGTCTACTCTGGACTGGGCACTATGGTGCACGCCTATAATCTCAGCGGCTCTGGAGGCTAAGACAGGAGGATTTCAAATTCAAAGCCAGCCTCAGCACTAAGCAACTCAGTGAAATCTTGTCTCTAAATAAAAATACAAAATAGGGCTGGGGATGTGGCTCAGTGGTTGAGTGCCCCTGAGTTGTACTAAATTAAATTCCTAGTACCAAAAAAAAAAGGCGGGGAGGAGTTTACTCTGGGATGGAATCAAGGATATTCTCTTAAAGATTCTTAGAGAATCCTTCTATTCTCTACCCAATATAACTCAGAGTTTAATTTTTTCCTTTAGAGTAATAATCCCCTCGTATATCCCTCTTCCTCATATTTTGTCTTCCCCCCTTCTTTCTCTCCCTGGAGTTTCCCTTTCCACATCCTCTCTCAATTAGCTGCAATGCATTATTTCTCATGTCACACCTGGGCTTTTGTGTCTGTGCATGATTGATATTCTCTATCCATCAGAGGGGACAGAATGCTGCTCATCCTTGCAGACCTAACTCCAAGAAACTCCAGTACTTGGGCTCTTTACTGTGCTTGTCCATCCCTCGGGTTTAGAAAGCTGTCTTCTCAGGAGGCTTTCCCTGACACCCCAACTCTAAGTTGCATCACCTCATTTTCTCACACTCATGTTTGCATGAGTGACATCCACTTCCCCAAGATGTCCTAAATTCTTAGAAAACAGGAGTCCTGGCTTTTTGTTCAGCAACTTATGAGTGGATTGGGCCTGCCATCTGTGCATAACAGCCAGAGGAGTGCCTTGCCACCTTTGAAAAACATTCTCAAACTATCAGCACCTCCTGTTAATACATTTATTACACTACTGTCTCATCAACCTGGATTGTTAGCTACAGATGGTTGTTACATGTCACATACATGAAAACATGCTCTTTCATGCTTTCATCTCTTTTACCTTGTCCCCTAGATAACATGTCTTAGGGTCACATTACTTGGCCTTTCAGATAGCTCTGCATCTAGCTTGAGGAGGTCCAGCCCCCTGTATATTGTATGGATTTATATTAGAGTCAATATTTCACATGAACACTGTTCACTTAGTTCCTTAGTCCAGCTCTTTGCATTTTCCCACAGCAAACAAAAACAAAACACTATTCTGTCTATGGAAAATCATCTTGATTTACATCACATTTCAGTTTAGCAGGGAAGAATACTGAATTAGCTAGAGAGGTTCTAACAGCAAAATTACCAGCTGGATATTGATTATGGTTTTAAAGTTTTTCGAATCTGGAGCCAGGCGCGGTAAGCAAATGCCTGTAATTCCCAGCAGCTCAGGGGGTGAGGCAGGAGGATCACAAGTTCAAAACCAGCCTCAG